TCTTCAGTGAGTGCTCAAATCTAGCTGTGTTGGACATTCAAGTAGTACTCATTCAACTGTAGCTTGCAGCCCTTTTCCCATTCATCTTGTATGTTTTCTGTCTCAGAGAGATTTGTTGTGATTTGGTGTATTTTGGCCTCCTTAAAAAAATAATAATAATTAGGTGTTTTTTTCTTTTTTTAGTTCAATTAATTGTTAGTTCTTAGCATCACTTCTCATCTGATCCATGCTCTTAATTTGTAAGTTCAGCTGTGGTTTTATAGTTCTCATGTGTTTAATTTAAAGTGCCTTGAGCTTGAGCAGTGCAGCCTTGTCACTGCCAGCATCTCAGCTTCTGAAATGACCCTTGGTCCCTGAAATATCCTCATGTCCTTATACGTAGTATACAAATAAAAATACTTTATGTTATAAATATATTAATTTTGTATGTTTTACCATGAAGGATGATCCCTGCAATAGTAACTTACTTGTCTGTGTTTTGTGCAGTTTTATGCTGCCTGGGAGGTCAGACTTTATGTGACTAAACCAGCCACGTGTTTGAAAGACTGCGGTTTGATGTGGTTTGCTTTCTAACTGCCTCCTTGCTTTATAAAAAGGAATTCAAAAACCTTTCTGTTATTTATATTTCACACGCAGTGTACTATCAGTGTGGTAAAAACCATTTTGCTGGCACTCTTTTATAATGATTTGCAAAACATATTTGTTGCCTCTGTTACATCAGCAACGTTGTCATGTCAAAGCCAAGCAGATGGAAGCATTGTTTGCCGTTATCACTGCTATCACTGTATCACTGCATCATTCTAGATTTTTGTTCTAGCACTTAAATTGCAGATAATACGATATTAGAGCAGTAATAGGAAATAAAAGCATAATGAGCCCAAAGTATTTTACTACCTTCTTTTTTATTTGTAATTGGTGAACTTCGGACTTAGAGAAGGTTCTGCTGTATTGCTCACACAGTGAAGTTTATATCCAGATATTTTCTGTTCAATGTGAGAAAGCATTGAGTTAGGCCCAAAATGAGGTCTAGAACCAGTGATCTGTTGTACTAGTCAGACAGCAGGCTAAATGTAAGCATGCGTTAATACAATTTACAGCTTGCTCATGTTTTGTACTATGTCTCTATTGGCATAACTGGACATTCCATCTCAAACTTTGCGGTAGGATAACAAAGCAGTGGGTATAGAAGAGGTCTGCAGAGAAAAAATAAATCTCTCTTTGATCAGCAGAGAATTTTTAGCATCATTTTTGGACATGTAGAATTAGTTCATCAAATTCTACACCTTTGATTCAGTCAATAATGTAACTTTGGTTTATTATTCAATTTCAGCTTTGATCTGAATTCATCAGTACTTCATTGATTTTAAATTGAGTGGCCATGGTGGTGTATTCTGTGTTGTTCTCTTAATTAATTAAAAAGTTAAATGCAGTCATAAGTCACTTTGCTCATTTGTTTTAAAACGTTTTGAATACTGTTGTAGACTTGCTTGAATCCACTTGTGATTTTTCTTATTTTTAATCTTTATATATGTTAAAACTGAAAAATCTAGTGGTCATACTTAGCAGCCCACCATCACAGTACTAGCTGTGCTCCATATCAAACAAGTTCTGTGAATTCTCATTGTCCCAGACAAATAATATTTAACAAACCTAGGACTGATCAAAACCTATGCAAGCATTGTATGTAGATAGATTTATGCATGTTTTCTCTATATCCATTTTTAGAGAATAGGAAAGTAGAACTGGTTTTACAAACTCACAGTAGGCCTGATTATTTTTTTTTATTTTGTAACATTAAGTCTCTAGCCAGTGGAGCATTTTCAGGTAAAGTATTATTTCTTCAGATATTATGTGCAGAAAAAAATGGAGTAAATAAATGCAGAAAAGCCCTAAAACTTGTTTTTTATAGTCCAGCTACATAGATTTTTCTTCCTGACAGTCTGCAGAGGTTAGGGTTTTTTTTTTTTTTTCTTTGTTTTTTAGATTAAAATCACCATAAGAGTTTTGTATTTTCCTGATAGTAAAATGTGTAAGTATCATGCTTACTTCCTTAGAGATTAAGGAAATAATAACAATCTCCCAACTCCTGTCTTTATCTTTCTGGTTCGTAATGAAGATAACATATGGCGTAGCCAATGTGATTCAGGGTAGGCATGGCCATTAAGTCTTTCCATTCCTTGAATTAGTAGCCAAGTGGAGGATGTTTTTGTCTTTATTGAAGCTGTGTAATGATTTTTGCACAGCCTGTGCTTGTCTTTTGTTCTTGCTATTTCCATACCACTTTCCCTGAACCTAAACTTTGTGAGCAGTTTTTCAGAGAAAGTTTCAGCTTCATTTTTTGTTTCTCAGTTTGCACATGGATAACAAGAATCACTCCTCACTACCTACCTATTTGTAGAGACAAAAAGTTTTACTTATATTTTTTAATTTGTGAAGATTCTTATCATGCTCGTTAAGGAGCTAATAAGTATTTCTCTGATGCTGTAGTGTTAATGGCTTATGCTTACCTCAATTCAGCCATTTGAAAAAATGGCTTTTGTATTTTATTGTTCACTGTCAGGCCCCAGTACTAAAATGGAGAGTCTGAAACTAATAGGGTTAAAAGGACTTCTACTGTCTGTATTGTGTGTGCATTATACCTCCATTGCTTATACATTGTTTTTTTCCCCCTAGTATTAGCAATCTGCTTTTGTACTTTGACATAGGGATTTCCCTTGTGAATATTGTCACAGAAAAAAGAGAATCATCAATATCGCAGTTAAACTTGACTTTCAAAGCTAATAGTATCTCATTTGGGGGCTCAAATTTAATAAATTTTCTTTGATTCTGGGTGAGTTTTTAAACATCAAACAATGAATTGGCCAGGGTGCAGTAAAATATTTAGATCTATTGACTACGGTTCAGAAGGGTAGAAGGCAAAACACTGGTGGTTTGATGTTGATAAATTCTTAGTACCTTAATCCACATTAATGTTTTCTTTTATCTGTGTGCATACTGGCAGCAAAGACACTGAAATGTTGTGATATATAGGCTATAAAAATGTAAAGCAAGTGTGCCTATGTGTGAGTGTATGTAAGTATATGTGTACGTATTTAAAGTAACGTGTTTTGTCATATTCAGCAAGGTTAACATCTGACTGGAATTACACATGCTGACAGAACATTCCGGAGAGCATGTTTGTTCCACAGGACTGTATATATGCTGAACCTAGTGCACTATGTGTGCAAAAAATGCGTGGAGGACCTTTCCTGTTATAAAAATTGCATCATAGTGCATATGTTTGGCAGCCACAGGTATTGACAGGAATTCTTTAGGTCAACTTGGGAAATGTAGGGCTCCCTATTCCCACAGAAGAGAGCAACGGATAAAATAAAATCTTTTCTTCTTTGTATCAGTAGATTTACACGTGCATGCTTCTTTCAGTCAGAACAGATTTCAAAGCCTGTGCTATTATTTGAAATATGTTCTCTCATCAACATTTTACAAAAAATTAATTTTGTAAGCAACTACAAAAAAGTAATCTGGGATTTAAAATGAATGGGAGTATATTTTAATTCATGAATGGTGAGTTCTTTGGAACGAGGGAGGCTCTAGATAATCTGAAATTTGTTTTAAATGGTATCTAGTAAATTATGCATATAAAAATCTAAATGTATTTTGGGTGCATTTAGTATGTCAGAGTGTGTATTGTTGTTAAAGAGTTGATTATTTTGGCGGTACTAGCTATTGCTACTCAACAGAGTCAGTCTGTGCCACTTAAACATATTTCCTCTATTCGTTACGTATCTTTTTACGTGCTTCTATCCTTCTGTATTGGAATCTTGTCTGGCTACTGGCATCTTTTGGAGACGCACATGATAATTTTTATATTAAACAGAATGAAAGATATGCGTGTGGCAGTATGAGTGATGTGTCCATGAAAGTTATGTGCTAAATACGTAACCCTTCAAATGCAGCTAATAGCCTAATTACATGTTACGGTAGTACGCAAAAATGTGAAATTAAATAATGAAAAAATACTCGTCCCTTGTTCAAGACTTATAAGTCTGGTTGCGTTTAAAGAAAAAAAAAAGCACTGATCAATTTACATGGCTAACAGTCTTTACCTTCGTGTTTTCATCACTCTGAAAGCGGGCAGGATTCCAAATCAAAACCAGTTTCTCTCTTAGTCAGCAGGTGGCACTGTGACACAAACTGCATCTGGTTGTGTTTGTAGCCCTATGTAGAAATCGCATGGATAGCGTTTGGGTGTTTTGTTTTATCCTTTCATTTCAGATTGCCTGCAACACTAAATAAATAAATATCAAACTGTTCGAATTTTGTGCAAACTGTAGCATTTCTCACTCCAAACTGTCATAGTTATGAACTGTGTGAAAGTTGTTTAGTACTAGTTAGTGCATTATTTCTTATATGCGAATCTACAGTAAGAAAACTAGGAGCAGATATTTTTTCACTTTCTGTTAATTGCAGTGCTGCAGGTTGAAGGTATTTTTTGGCTTTGTTTGAGGATTATTCATTTTAGTTAGGGCTCTAACTGAACTGGTATTAAAGGAATCCAACTGTGAATTGCTGATATGATCTCCATACACCAGACAGAAGTCCTGTAACAGCTTTTTGTTTGTATGATCACAAAACTTTTTAATTTCATTGCTGGTGGGTTTTTGAGTGAGAAGTACAATTACTATTTATTTTCTTACTGTGTTTTTACAGGGGACAGATCTGTAAAATGCGTGTATCAGGTGGGCTTGTGAGCCCTTAGCAGCTCTTCTTTCCTTCTCATTTCAGACCAGGGGAAGATGCTTTTTCTTCTTAACATTCTCTCCCAGCACTCTGAATTAGAGATTTATTTGCAACGAAAAATCAATTAGTCCTAAATTTATTCATGGATTTCAGGTCCAGCGATCAATGCAAGTCCACTCAGTGGGCTCAAGGGGACCCAGTTCATCCCAGTTAATGTGTCTGAAGGGGAATTACCATTGATGCTGTTTTTTTCCCTTTAGGTCAGAGATCAGACCTTGCTGTCATGGACTGCGGCAACCAGGAATGACTTCACCCTGCAGCTACCCAAACTGCACCTAGAGACCTTTGCAGTAGAAGGGCTGAAGGGCAGGCCAGAGGTTGTAGCATTTCAGGTTAGAGTCTAAAACAATCCTGTTTCTTCCTTCTCTTTTTTGCATCTGAGAAGCTGGACTGCTCTGAATGTGTGGAGAACAAAAAGCTTCAAGACTATTACAGTCAAAAAAGAAATAATTACCATACGTGCTCTTAATACTGTATTTTGGAGATGATATGAACTTTTAATTTTGCAATTATAATGTTAATTAACTGACAGGAATATGGCCATGGAAAATGATCATGCAAATACTGTATTTAAAAATTAATATCAGTGTATTCTACTTTTTTCCCCATTGATTTAGGCAAGGCAAAGCAGGGAAAAAACAGCATTTTATTGCTTATGTGGTCAGTATCATAATTTTGACGTTACAGTTTTAGTACTAGTAGTGATTTTTGAGCATTCCTTATTTAAAAGAAACTACTTGGAATACTCAGTTATAGAAGCTGTTTTGTTTCATGTGGGTTTAAGGACTTGTGTGATTAACAGTAATAATTTGGTGAAGAGGAAGAACAGGGTAAAAAGGAGAAATGAACTAAAAAATACATGTTTGCAGCTCTGAGAATGGATTTGGAGTAAAGCTTTCATACCTTGTTTTAAAGTTTGTTGTGTTTTCTTAAACACGGACTGTCCCTTAGTCTTCATAGCTGTGCAGAATGACTTCATTCTTGTAATACTTTATCACTAAAGGTAGATTATTTTTTCAGTGAGGGAATGAAAAGTACAGTGAGTATATACCTCTTCATTATGTTTTCCTATGTGAATCTGAGAGAGGAAAGTTAGTCATATAAAGAGCAAGGAAGTCACACACTGCAAATGTTACATTCCTGAAATAATCCTTTTTAATTTATTACAGATTTTCAGTTCTAGATGAAGTATATAATTGCAGGAGCAGGGTCACAAAATCAGACATGCTAGGGAGGTGTATTCTATGCTTCATACGTCTGCCATTTTTCTCTTGCATGTATGCATTTCAATATCATATAGATTTAAATTATGTCTTTATTATCATACTTTCATAATAACATAAAGTGTAACACCTGGAATTCCCATGAACTTTAGTTAAAACAGCTGTATGCCTTTACCAGAGTACAGTTGAAATGCTTTCATATACTGATGAGCACTTCTGTGGCTATGTAAAAAGTTCCTACTAGTGACTTATTTTCAAAGAAGACACTGGAGAAATAACCAGCATTTTAAAATATTGCTGTTCTTATTCAGATCTCACTCTGTTGGCTGACTTCCACTCCAGTCCGTGTTCTTTTTGGATCTCAGGAGTGTTGCAGAGACATTTGCAAAGCAACCCATTCCTTCTATCTAAAAAGATGAAAAGCAATAGGAATCTCAAAAACTGCTATTCACATCTGTACACAGAGCTTGTGGTAGGAACGTAGCATGGTGCGCTCTGGCTAGCTTACTAGTGGTGCACTATTATAAGCTTACTTTGTGTTCATCTAACAGCTCCAATTGCACATGATTACACCGTAGGTATGAAAACAGCATCAGTGGTACAGTCTATCTCATTGTTCTTTTCTACTGTTCTTTCTCTTTCCTTTCTCGTTTTCCCTTTCCTCTTTCATTTCTCTATTTTACTTTCCTTTCCCCTTTCCTTTTTAGTTTCTGTATAATCAATGGATGTTACAATCACAATATAAACAAGAGAGTTAGGCGAAGTAGACTATGATAACAAAAGAGAGTAAATAGAAGGCTTACCCTTATGTTGGGCTCACCACAAAACACCAATAGAGGTGATCTCCAGACGAGATCCTTCCCCACTGTTAGCCAGCTCTTAAATAGGGCTAGGAGGGCTGGAGCCAGGCTCCACCCCTTCCAGCAGCACAGGTGAATTGCCTTCACGTGTGCTCCTCTGGCTGGCTCAGTGCTCGCCTCAGGTAATCAATCAGAGGTTCAGGCCATGACTCAGCACTTCCCATACAGTTTCCTTCCCCCTTTTCCTTTCTTTTTTCCTTTTCTTTTTTCCTGATTTTAGTTACTCAGTGCCTGTTTGATAGCTTTTTAAGTTTATTATGGAGTTTTTATTTATTTTATATAGCTGGCAGTCAACGAATTTGCTTTGATTTCACCTCTGTATGCAAAATTGTATTTAAAGCAATCCTAAGATCTTGAGTGATATCAGGAGTCAGTAAACAACTTGTGAACACTACTGATGGAAATCAGTGGAATTGTTTGCATGCTTGGTTTCTCTAACTACTATGTGTACTTTATAGTAATTATAGGTTGGGTACATTTCATTTAAAGGCCTTATTCTTTGTGAATGTTAGATATAAGGATTTATTTACCAAATATTTAAATTTGTTGCTGTTTGGTGCTTTCTTTAAAAAAATTGCAGAGAAATGACAATCCAAAATTAGACATTATGGTGGGGACGAAGCAATAGTTCTTGAATATTCATAGAAAAACACGTTGTTTAATTTTTACTTTTCATGCATCCAATTCATTGTAAGTGGCTGGAATCAGTAATTGATCTTTGTTTGATATCCAGTGTATTGGAGTGTCTCACCTTTTCCTCACAAGAGAAGAAGATAAAAAGCTTCTGTGTACAGGCACATCCATGAGATTATCTTTTTTCCAAAATTTTCAGAAAAATCCTTAATTTATCCTTATCCTTAATTTACTTTATGGACGTAGCATTAGAGATCTGTATTCCTTGTCAGTGGGAAATGGGGCGTCTTGGAATTTTTGAGTTGCTATTATCTCCGTGTGAACGTTTCTTGGGAAAGGTATGCTCTCTTTAGAGGAAACAAGTACAAAGAAAACTAGCATAATGAACACAACTTGCTTGACTATGAACCAAGCTATCAGGCTTGTTTTATTCTGGGGTACTTAATTATCAGAAGGCTGCTTTTTTTTTATTCCTATTGAATGAATGTAACTTTTCACATACCATTACTACTCACAGGGCTGATCAAAGATTCAGAGAAAAGAAATCCCTTCGTAGCAAGTGGCTCATGTGTTGTAAAGAATGTGTCATGCAGTCTAGTGATAGACCTTTGGGCCGTGAAACGCTTGAGAAACAAAACTCTGAATTTTCTGCAAAGCTTGCACTTTATTGAATTGCAGAATTAGATAATTAATCAAAATGTAAGTTTTTCAACAATAATATCCTTGCACTAGATGTCTTCTAAAACCCTATGTAAAGGCTGAAATGCATGGTAGTAATAAGTGTGACTTAATTTATAGGTATTTGTTAAATACTTGGAAGCTGTTACATAGTAACAAGAGTTACTATAATCGTTTGAAAGTGTGACTTGAGATGAATAAGAAATGGAAAAGGTGCAGTATCTTCAGAAATAAACTGATATAAAGGCTATAGTTTTGAAATACCCTCATCTGATATTTACTTACTGTGACTCATGAGGATGTACTGTTTGTTAGTTTGCTAAGCTTGAAGATGCAAAGTAAAGCGTTACCTTTGAGCTACTGAAACACGTGAAAGGACAACATGTTCTGTTCTGGCCACGCCTGAGTATTTCTATGAAGACAGAAAGTGAATTGTATGTGAAACTTAAAATTTAACCTGGCATTGACAATTAAGAACAATGACAAATAGAAAATAGCTACATGTATCGGGATCATATCCACCACTTGCCCAAAAGATGCCATTAACAGCAAGTGGATGGCTGTGTGATCAGGCAGCTGGTGATGTTCACGTGTGGTAGCTGCCTGCAGAAGTACAGTTACAGAAAGAGTAATCATTTTCTGTGTCATGGGAACTACTTTGACCTCTATCTTAGAAGTCTCTATTTGCACATTTCATTGACTGATTGTTTTAATTTGTGGTGGTTGCTTTTGGTCAGTGTTTGGCATGGAGGTCTTTTTCTTCCACCAATATCTGGTTGTTGAAGGATATAATATGACTTCTGAATTTTGCTTTAGAAGAGAATTGATGTTCAGAGATGAATTTCTGTTGCCACTTTGCAGGATTCACATGAATTAGAAACTCCAAATATATGAGTTTTCTGAATTTAATGAGGATTTGCCCTTTTGGTGCATCTACGACGTGTTAAAAAAAGCAGATATGAGGATGAGACTATAGGCAAGCTTATGGTATACAAGGAATGCAGGTATCTGTGGCTGTGTTTGTGAGCATTATAACTCTTATGATAAAACATTTCTTCATGTGTTGCCCTTCACCTGAGATATGAGATTGACAATTTACCTGGTTGTTGGAAGTCCTTTTCATTTTAATAAAATTGTACTTTATTTTAAATATAAACTGTGAGTGATTTGAATAAATGTAATTATTTTCATTACTAAGCTCTCCCTTAGTTTTGGCATTGGTACTGTATAGTTGTGGTTTGCTTTCTTTCCTCCAAGTGCATTTGAGATAGATAAGTTATCTTGCTCCTTGCCTGCCTCCCTCTCAGCCTTCCTCTCTGTCTCCCTCTTTATTTTTGCCTCTCACTGCACACCTGTTCCTGCTGCACATATGGTCTTCCTCTTGCTCCCTCCCTGCTGCTCGAGCCTGCTGCCTTCCTCCCTCTCCTCCCTCCTTTTTTGCTGCCTCCCTCTCCCTTGCTGCCTGTTACTTCATCTAGGTCTGTGCCACAGCCTCTGCCTGTCTGTTATCTCTGTGCCTTCCTTCCACTCCCTTTGTCTCATTTGCCATGCCTTTTGTACCCAGTCCTGTCCCTCCATTTTCCCTCTCCTTGTCTCTGTTCTGCTCCCTCCCTGGCTCCCCTCTCTCTCCCTGTCCTCTCCCTCTGCCTTCAAAATGTATTTGACTGTCTGTACAGGTTGAGGAAGTCCACATGGGATTTCTTCTTTCAGTTCCTCAAGTGTTTGGAGGGGTGTTGAAATGAAAAGCGTAGTAATAACACCAAGGCTTATAGGGGTGGTAGTAATACAGTCAAACACTGATCTATCTTCAGTATTAACATATAATCATTATAAGTTTATGAAGGATGTGTAATTTTATATTCATATATGATTTAGTAAGGCCTTGTCTGATTGGGCTATAGATCTTCTAATTACTTGGGCGAACGTAAATGTAGTTTT